ACTAGGAATAACCTAGAGAGTAATTCGATATAAATGCGGACTGACTGGGTACTGCATATCTGTGTTTAATCTTTGAAGTCGTTGGGTCAATCCTTATCTGTTTCTGGAATTGTTCTGTGGGTGTCTTCCAGGTGAGAAGTTATATTGTTGATTACTTGCAAGTGTAGTCCGAAGACTCGTCCGAAAATTCGATCGCTACTTCAGTTGGTAGCAGACCAGCGATGTCGGAAACGAATTCTTCCTTTTGTATGAGAGGTTGTTGGTATCTGTGTAACGCAACTCTCTCATCTTTTTGATTTCAGCATACGAACTAACTGGCGCCACTAACGCTCTGCTTAGCCTTCTGGCTGCTGTCGAAACCCGTTGGCAACTGTTCGAGGAGAACGGAGAAAGCAAACTAACAGAGAACCCTTACCAAGATATCAATGTTCAAGCGTTATTGGAGTTAGCTAGGTTAGTCTCCTTTACAATATCCTCATTTCTCTCCGTGTGCATCTCGGTTTGAGAGTAGAAATCCACTGATCCACTGCCCCTTTTTAACACAAACGCTACCTACTTTCATGAATTGTTATTCTGTAACTGGGAGGAAGGAATTTATCCTCTGTGATCATCAAGGGGTTTGTTACAAATTCATTTAGTATTTAGTCTATATAAAGGTGAAAACTCCCAATCTCACTTAGCATTGCCCTTATAATAACCGCACACGAATTACGGAGTGAGCGTGTGAAACACTTCATTTCCAGCAAACCGGACTACTGTCGGTGGTGAGAGAAAACAATCCAGGTCAAATAAAAGTCGATCAATGTGAACCGAAATACAGGGAACTTGAGCGGGTTATCCTATTTCGTTTTGCCCATCTGTGTGATGATGACCGGTGGGCGAAATTGAGAGCGAACTACTCAGCTCATCACACCGTCGCGTATTGATTTTCGCGTTCGGGTTGGACAGCTGATACAGAATTTTGAATCGTTAGATTGGTTCATGTTTTTCTTGACCAGTATTGGTGATATTGTGACAACGGCCGGATTTTTGTGTTTGAAATTTTTGGATATATTTGTCCCATCTGTGTGATGATGACCGGTGGGCGAAATTGAGAGCGAACTACTCAGCTCATCACACCGTCGCGTATTGATTTTCGCGTTCGGGTTGGACAGCTGATACA